GCAGAGGGAAGGACCTGGGACATCTGCAATTGTTGATAACTGATTAGAAAAGTTATGGCTTGAGATACAGACTGGGTTATAGCAGCATCCCAAAAAGGTAGCTTGAGATACGAACTCGGTGATGGCAGCATAACAGGTACTAATAGGTTAGAGATTACCAATGATGTACTGAATTTCTGTTATAAAATAATGTATTGTATTACACATCCACAATAATGAGTAATAAAGAGACAGTGTCGTTAAAAAAAATAAAAATAAAAAAAATAAGATAAATATTTGTTACAATATTTTTTCAAATCTGAATACGACTATAAATATTTAACTTCAAGCTTCTTACAATAAATATTAACTTCTTGAAAAAAAATTTTAAAATCATATTCATATCCTTTACATCTATGATTTATTAAATCTAACACATTATAATTTATAAAATAATTATATTTATCATTAAATAAATTATAATAACTATGAATATATATGCTTCAAAAAATTCAAGAATACTCTTTAAATGTTTGTTTTTTAAATTATATATTGGTCCAGTATTAATAATATTTTCTGTTTTTAAATATTTTTTAAATTTTTTGAAACTAATATTTTATATTCACTAGTTTGAATATCTTCAAATATTAGATTTTTTTCTTCAGTGAATAGTATAAAAGATTTATTTTTTATATTGTCTGCTGAATAAAATAATCGAATATCATCATCTATCCTCAAAAAACTTCTTCAATAATTTTTTTTTTTTGTTTTTTTTAAAAAATTTCTTTAAAATTTTTCTGAATATAGAATCTTCATTCAACTTCACACAATATATTTTTTCACTATCAAAGCTATTTTGTTTGTTTTTTAATTTGTTAATAAAATTTTTTAGAAAAGACATTTTAATAAATTTGGTAATTTCTTAATATGTTAATTTATAAAAAATAAAAAAAAACTAGAAAATTGTCCTTTATATTTAATTTTCATTTAATAAAAAATTTACAGTTCTCCTTAGCAATATTTCAGCCTTCTCTTTTTTAGTGGGAGATTCATATTTCCTATTTGTTGTTGATATACATTTTATTTTTCTTTTAATACATTGTAAACATAGTCTTTCCTTAGAATATTTAATTTTTTTAACTTGACATGATTTACATACAGTTGTTATTTTTTTCTTATTTTGTTAATAAAATTTTCTTAATAATAAATCGTAAATTAAACCAATTATTTATTTAAATTTATTTATATTTAATCTAAATTTCTTAAATAAAATTTGAGTAAATTTAATATAAGGCCATGCAAAATTAATTAAATGGTTTTCATAACCCGGCCGGGTCAAAATTTGAAAATTTCAAAAAAAAAATTTTTATATGTTTTAATAACCGGGTGGGTTTTAAAAAAAAAATTAATATAAATTTTGTAAAATTTTATATATGAAATTTAAAAAAAAAAGCCGGCCAGCCGGGTCTATTTAAAAATTTCATGTTATGAAAACCAAGTAATCAAATTTGTATGGCCTAATATAACAATAGCTTTATATTTTATATTAGCTAAAAAAAAAACTAGTTTTTGACGTCTCATTTACTTTAGCAAAGCAGGTTTGTTATGAGAGATTAAATAGGATTAACAAAACTAGATATTCTATACTGCTTGCTTGAAAACTTACGCTATCTAATAATTATTAAAAAAAATTTTTTTGTAAGACAAAATTAAAAGCTAGTATGACATATATAATAGCCAATTAGGTATAAGGATTGATATATAGATTATTCTAGAGCCTAAATTTCTAATTAGGAATATCACCGGACTGAAGTAAGAAACCTTTTCTATTGGAATTTTTGTACAAAGGCACATCCTCCTGCTAGTTATCTTGTACAAGAATGCTTTTAACTTGTATGATAAAGATACAGAGAAGTCTCCAAGCCAAAGCAAAGAAAAGAACAACTCAATTAATCTCTATAAAAACCATTAATATGTGTCTACTTTAGCTTCAACTCCAGCAAACTTCTATTTTTTTTTTTTTTGCTAGAAGGTTTGGTTCAAATAATCATCAAAAAGAGTACTTGTATTAATACAGTCAAACCTTGATATAATCACCTAGTTGGTAACCAAAATGCAATATGACTAAAGTAATAGTGCCTATATAGAGGTTAATTTTTTTATGCTTTATAATAGTTGGTAAATGAGAATAAAATTATTTTTATACTTTGTGACTATATTAAGGGTGACTATATCAAGGTTTGACTATATTGGTTTTCAGTACAGTAAATTCTCTTATTTTTAAATAAAGCAATAATATACTTTATTGAATTTAAAAAATTTATTAAAGTATTAAAAATTCAGTACAAATATGCTGTGCAAAAAAAAATTTAAATATTTAATGATTGTAAACTAGTTCAGCTAACTTTACTAATATTTTTGTTTTATATTATAATGTATAGTGTATATATTATAATACAATACAAAATTTATAGCTACAAAAATATTAGTAAAGTCAAATAAAAGTTTTAAAGTAATTGAATTTCTTATAAAATTTTTTATTGCTATAATTAAAATATGATCAAATTCGTAAGTCTTGATCTTTTAATTAAAATTTAATTACATAGAATATTTACATATTTAATTTACAAATTAATTTTGCTGCATTTTAAAATTCCAATTACATGTATAACAATATATATATAAAAACAATAAAAATCAAAAATGTAATAACAAGAAAACTTACGAATTTAACAATTAAATCATAGTTACAGTAGAATGTGATGTAAATTTTGAATATTTGAAATCTATAAGTACTTTTTATTTTTATATAATATATACATTATTCAATTACCAAGGCAATCATAGTATTTGAATATTAGTGTTTATAAGAGCTAAGGCCTTTTTATTTTTCATTGTTACTTTTTTATGCTTTATATTTTTTCTATTTTGCTTTTGCTAATTTTTCTAACCAATATTTTTTTTTCAAAATTTTTATATTTACTCTTTCTCATTTTATTTTATTTTCACTTTACTTTTTTTCTACCACTTTTTTTTTTTGCTAATTCTTCTCAACCATTTTTCATATTTTCAAATGCTACTATCTTTGTTTTTTTTCATTAATTTTTTTAACCAACCTTTTTTTTCACTTTTTTATGTTTTACTTTTTTTATTAGTTTGTGAAAATTCTGTGCTATAGGTCTGTCATTTTGGTTTCATTGGTGATTTCAGGCTTTGTTATTTTGGTGCCATTATTCATGAAAATTTCAAGGTAATCTTGAATTAGAAGGAGAAAAGCATTTGCAAATGCACTTTGCAAAAACACAATGCTAACTTTTTTGAATCTTGGACAGTTTGGAAGGAGAAAAAATATTAGCTAATACACTTTCCAAAAACTCGATACTGATGGTGCTGTCGTTTTAGAACCTTCATTGCTTCAGGTGTGGTCTTGATATCATCACAATATTATAAATTTTTGTGTTTTTTTTTTTTATAGTTTTTATTAGTTTTTTTTTTATGACATAATTTCTAAATTTGCAATTGATTATAATAAATTAATTAAAATTATGTAATCCTAGTAATAAAATTTTATTAAGTGATAAATTGACCAATAAAAATTGATCACATGCCGATTTAGATCATTTGACCACGTGATCGATTTTTATTGGTCGATCATGGGGTCGCCACGGGCTATAAACTAACGCTCTTAATTAAATTGTAATATTTTTATAATTAATAATTCAACTTAAATAATTTTAATACTATTTAAATTGTTTTATAAAAAATTAAATAGTACTAAATTACAAAATATTATAATTTGATTAGATATTTAAATTCTTTTTGTACTAAACTTTATATATATATATACTTTTATATTAAATATTAAGTTGTATAAAATTAAATATTGTTTTATTATAAATTTGATATAAAAAAAAACACAGTATAGAGGACAACTTTTTATAATTTGAAAATATACGTATATTACTATTTTATAATTTTTGTTTTCAAATATATATTATTATATATATAATTTAATACTAGATCAATATAATTATTTTTAGAAACCAATTTGGCTGCTAAATCTAATAGTTTATGAGATAGTCAAAAGAAATATTGTTTTATTATAAATTTGATATAAAAAAAACACAGTATAGAGGACAACTTTTTATAATTTGAAAATATACGTATATTACTATTTTATAATTTTTGTTTTCAAATATATATTATTATATATATAATTTAATACTAGATCAATATAATTATTTTTAGAAACCAATTTGGCTGCTAAATCTAATAGTTTATGAGATAGTCAAAAGAAATAATTTATTTAATATTTAGATAAATTATTTACCTTTCTTAATATATTCCCTCTTACATATTGTAATTTGAAATCCAGACATAATAACGTTATTTGTTAATATCCTCTATCCGTAGGACATTTTATATAGATATTTGTGGAAAACTTGTTGGATATGATTTGACCGTTTTCAAAACTCAAAATAATACAACAAAAAACATTCCCAACAAAGCAAATTTTTAAAAATAGATAATTAACTCGCAAGTCTTACTGAGAATATTCGAAACAACACCTGGATGCTAAAGCTTTATTATAAGATTATGATGCAAGATTGTTATTCATCAGGGAAGCACGATCAAATGGTATCTTATGACCTTAACAGTTAAGTTAGCAATTAAAAGATATCAAATAATACTAAGAAACAGTCAAGACCGTTCAAGTCTTTACAAAAGGTCATATTGCATGATAGACGATAAGATACATCTATATATCATTAAAATGCATCTAATTCCGTATTTACAGTATACGATAACGCCCTTTTTTGATAGTCCTAATATATTTATTTCCAACCATTTATTAATACATCCATCGAATAATATGCAGCCAAATTACAGTTAAATATGTCAACAGAAGATATGCTAAGATATGAACATGTTATTTAATGCTAATATCAGCTTTTAAAACTAAACAAGTTGTAGATATACTTACGATATTCTTGAATAAACCGATATATTTTGACATATTTTCATTCTTTATATCTAGAAGGTTCATTCCAAGATTTTTGTACACCAAAAAATCTTTCGTTATTATGTTCGTTTTGGTGTTCGATTAAGTGACTGGGTGCCATAAATTCCCTGTCACACCCAGAATAATCACATTTCAGAGGGCCTCCGGTCTCATGGGTGAGAAGATGCTTTTCTAAAAGGTAAAGCCACGGAAATGATTGATTACATCCGGGATGTTTACAAGTAAAAGGTTTAAACCTTATATGTACAATTATGTGATTTTCCAAATCTGATTGACGAAGGAAACGATAATTACAGCTCGGTTCATTACATGCATACTGTCCTTTTTGAAATATTATACTTGGTTGATCACCTTTGTATGCATATAAACATGAATCTGTGCATCTCTTATACGACTTATCTTCTTCAAGCTTGTGAGAAGACCAACATTCTATCATCTGTTCACGTAAATCTTGTGTTCTATTAGATAATTTAGACTCTCGGTCTATGGTCATTTTATCATAAGTTCCTCGGTTTACCTCTAGCACCGACGATGGATCACTATGTGATAAGCGAGGTATTTCAGGGCAAGTATGTTCGTTCAGAGATGGTATCATTTCTTGATTTGTTGATTGACAAGTAAAATTTTGGTTAAACGCAGACTTTTTTCTTCTGTAGCGTACCATCTCAGAATTCACATATGAATCATTCATGTATATTGTTTCATGAATTATAGATCGACAGGGAAAATTTTGGTTATATTTCGCGCAGCAAGCCACCTCTGGATTCACATATTGTTCGTTAAAATACGAAGATGTTTCATGAATTACTGATGGTTGGTAATTATTTTGATTAAATAGCCATTCATTATTCTTGAATGGTGGATTCACATGTGGATCATACATGGGTGAGGTTGTTTTATGAATTATAGGTGAGTGAAAATCATTTTGGTTAATTGGTCCATAATATGGTTTGTCAATGGGTGGTCGGCTTGTCTTATTCTTCGTTGGCAAAGGCAAATCGAGTTTAAGCGGTGTATTACTATTAAATAGCGCCAAATTTGGAACTGAGCGTAGTTCTTTTTCTGGCTCCTCACCATTAGTCAACACAGGTTGTGCTGGTATCTTACTTGTTGATACTCCTAATGCTTCAGGATTAAATTGAGGTTCTCTTGAGGATGTGGCCATTGACTGCATTATATCTGTTGGATTCACTTTATCATTTGATCGTTCGTTTGGACTTATACCAATTTCTTTGAACGTATGCAAGGTTTGTGGTGAAATGTCACTTTGAGAAGGGTTGGAAAGCTGATTGCCACCAAGTATGTATAATAAAGAGAGCTTATTTGCATTTTCTTGATTCTGTAAGTCCTCATTTTCTAGAATATTTTCCACAGATTGGCCAGTTAAACGCTGCATCCCCCTTATTATATCAGTTTTTTTATCAGATAAAATGCTCACATTACCTACAGAATCAATTATTGAACCGTCTCGAATTTCTTGTGACAAGTTCATATCATCTGCAGTATCCTGAAATGATTCATATAAACTTCCTTGTGATGAATCCATCTCATGGCCACTGTCATAATAATCAATAAATGACCCTTCCGGAAATTTTTTAGATGAATCAATGTCCTCAATGTCAGCTTCCTCAACTGCCATTTTTACGTTATCATATACTAGTTCATTATTCACATTGTAGAAACAAAGTTCAAATAATTCTTCCTCAGTTTCATCACTGTTATAAGACGAATCAAATTCATCACTAGGTACAGACGCCTCATCCGTAAAGCTCTCTTCATCCGATTCTAATTCTTGTTTTTTTTGTGTTTTAGAATTTGCTGAAAATTCATTAGATAAATTTAGTATGCTATAAAGTATGCTTGTCTTAAACATAAATATTTGTGAATTACAGTTACAATTTCGACATACCTATCATACGTGAATTTTCCTCTCGCAATTCTGGATAAATAAGGTCATACGGGTAATGGCTCATTTTATAAGCAATATGCAATAAAAAAATGAATGCTCGTTGGCCAATAATCAATATTCAAGTTTCGTAATAATTATAAGCAAGATACTGTTTCGCAAAATTCTGTAAAAAGTTTAATTTACGATCGGAATAAAATGCTTCTTAAAATAAAAGTGAACAAATACGGTTTTTTTTCAAAAAGAATAGTACTTTCAAATTTTCTTAATAAAGTTTTATCATTACTCACAAGGCTTATTATTCCGGCAATAACGCGACGAGGCAAAGAATGATACGCGACGAACAGGCGTGAGAGTTAATACGTATGCAGATCTATAAAGCCAGGGGTCTTATATAGATTTCTTCCAAGCCACCAGACAATACGATCATATGATCATATAATGGTTGTTACAGAATTAATTAAATTTTAGAAAGATCGTCAAACAACAAAAATTTAGTACAGTATTTATTTTTTTAAAGCACTTTATAAAATAAAATCTCAGTAGACCGTTAAGATTACTTGACGAAAAAAAAAAAATCATTAATCATATTAATAAAGAAATTTATCTTGTTACCAATAAGGTAAGTTACCCGGTATACGTATGAAAAAAAATTTTCTATTTAAAGTTAGGGTTAGTATTATACGTATAATGCTAAACATTTTTTGCTTTACATTTTTTATTTTTTTTCATAAATACTAATAATTTACTCGAGTACAAATAGAAATTCTTATAAAAGTAAATCTTATTACACATATTATAGTATTTTAATAAAAAACCACTTTCGAAAAACTAACAAAAAATAAATTTATTTGTACTAAATAAATTTTTTATTTTTAAATATAATTTAAAATAGCAGTATTAAAATTTTTATAATTATTATTATTATTTTTTTATAATTCGGCAATCTTGTCTTTACTTTATTAGGTTTAATAATATTATACTTTGAAATATTAAATTTTTTAGAAGGTTATTCCTTCTAACATCTAAGTTACAAGCATCAGCTCACCCAGTTGTTCAAAGAATACCTATATGTGACCTGCTATAGAAGATTTACCTCTATATTAATTTATCTTGCAAATGAGTTTATTAATATTTCCTCAGATAGTTCTTATGGTCTGTCAAGATTACTAATTAATTTTTCACCAATCTGTCTTTTGTTTACCTTTTATCTAACTCAAAACTTTATTTTTGGCTATATTTAATACAGCTTTCTATCTTATTTTAGCTTCTTTTTGTTTTTTTCTTCTTTTGTAGGTTTTATCTACTAAATTTTTCTTTTTGTTAGTTTTTTTTTTCTTCTTTTTTTGTTTTCTTTTAGTATTTGCACTATATCTTCATTTTTTTTTTTGCATTATACTATTCTCCTTCTTTTAGTTTTGCATTAGTTTATATCTTTTGACCCATGTTTTTTTATAGATTTTTTCATCTATCTTTTTCAAAGCTTTACTATAAAGTCTTTAGTTTGTTGTTGAATATGAAGATTAACCATATTTCATCAAAATCTTTTTTTATAATCAGACCTTTTATTCATTTTTCTCTTCTTTGTAACTCTTTAGCTAGACTTCCTTTCCTATTATTACTAAGATCTCTTCTTTTTTTTTAAACAAATTTTATATTTATTCTATTTTTTTCAAAGATTAGCTCTATTTCTTGCTCTTTAATATTTCATATTAAATTTACCTCACAACTTACTAGATATTTAATATTTCTGTTTTTTTTTTGCAAATAATACATCTATTAGTTTTATATATAGTATATCTGGTTTTTTTCAATTAAGCTTTTTAAAAACTGGCAAAATATTGTTTATATACTTCAATTTAAAGAGCTTTATTGTATTTGATCTGTATATATAGTTTTACTATTTAGTTTCACTTTCTAAAATTTTATAAAAAATTGGCCAATACTATAGAGTTATTCTTTCTTGATATATTGTATTTTGACTGTTATATACAAAGGTCTATTCTACTCTGTTTATAACTTTTCTTAATATTTTAACAAAAGAATGTATTGATTTTTCTACAACTTTATTCTTCTATTTGTATTTTAGTTTAAATTCTTTCATATTTAGTACTATGAAAGTTAAAAGCTTTGTTGAACATGCACCTTCTTTGGCTTTAAGATCTGCTAAATCATTAAAGATATCTTCCAAGTGACTCTTAATTTTTGTAAAGTGCAGAGTTAGTTGCTTCATTTTGATTATTTTTACTAATATTGCAATTAGGTCCTTATTTTTAATCTTAAACCATTGCCTTGCTTTTTCTACTTCAAGCTCTTTCTTGATTGCAAATATGGCTACATTGCTATTTGTTCTTATTTAAACTGTTTTTTTTTAAGTATTATTAGTAGCACTATCAAGATTACTACCAGCTCTGCTCTTGTTGATGAAAATTACTTTTTAGTACTACATGCTATTTGTTATAAGATCTATTATTTTTTTGTAACTTGTACTATTCTACAATCTATTATAACCCTCTTATCCTAAGTGAGCTATTTGTATAGAACACTAAACTATCTAAAAATTTATTTTGATCTAGGATCTCTATTAGACTACTTCTAAGTAAACTGTTTTCGACTATTCTATTTATTAGATATACTTTCTATCTTATACAATCTAAAACTGATAATTTTTTTCTTAACTTTCTGTAACTTTCTTGCAGTTATTATTGTTCTTTTTGTATCTTTTCTTGTAACTTTTTTTAAAGAATAAGTGCTAAAAATTATTTATAAGCCACTTTCTTTATTTTTTAATTTCTACATTTTACTAGTAAAGGTACTTGGTTTTTAACACATTGTAGGACTTTATACTCTACTCCTAATTGTAGCTTTTCTGTTTCTATATAGTTTTTTATTTCAGCATACTTTTTTTTTTTTTTTTTATAATTTTCTCAACTTTAATCTGCATATAATTTTTATCTTTCTATATAACACATTCTTTAGATCTTTTATCTTCTTTAACTTTCTTTGTTTTTATCTTGAGTGTGTTTAGATTATCTGTCTCAAGTTTGTATGTTGGTTTAATTTCTCTTGTTATTAGATCTTTAATCATTTTTTTTTTAATATATCAAACTATTTTGCTTTTTTCTCTCTTAGATTAAATTGTTTGCCAACTTTATTTGTTTTTACATATAAGTATCATCAAAATAAAATCTACAATCTGGCTTTCAAGTATATTTTGTATATAGTTAATTATCTATCATCAGACATAGATTTACTATAGATAGTATACAGATAACCAACTGTATACAAAATATATATAAAAGCCAGATTGTAAGTTTTCTTTTAATGGTACTCATATATATTGATTTCTTATCTGCTATTAGAAGCTGTGATAACAACTATACTCCTATTTTGCTTGCATTTATTTTTTCATAAAAAAGCCAATCTTTTTCTAAGATTCTTGCAATTTCAAAATCATTAGTAATTTAACAAGATTTATATTACAATTTTTTATAAATTTATTTTTTTTTACTATAAAATCTAAAGATTTTGCTTGCTATAAAATTTGTATCTCCAAGTTTTTTACTTTTAACTTTTTTTTTCTAAAAGCTTATAATTTGTTAAAATATATTTAGTTAAACTTGCTTTATATTGCCTCTGTTTTAACTTTATTATTGTTGATTTTTCAAGTTTTGAAAAATAATACTCTATATTTTTATTCTAAAGGCTTTTGAAATTTACTATTTCTGGGTGTTTTGTTATTATATTTGCTGCTATAAATAGTATTGATATTTTTATTTTGTAAGACATACTATAGGTTGGTAGTGTATTCTATTATATTAGGCTCTAGTTAAATATAAGAGTATAAGTTTATATTCAAGTATGGGTACAAAAACCATATTGTTTATTTATACTATTTGGCTTAATGATATTTTCTTGTATTTAAATAAGCTTATTATCTTGTTTATTTCTTTTTTTGCTTTGTATATATTTGATCTTTGTTGGTTCTTGATTAAAATTCAAACTATAAGAAACTTGTCGACTCTTTTAAACCTTTAGCTAAAATCTTAGTTCTTGAATAAGACTCTAAACTATATATAAATAGGTTAGGAGATACTAAAAAAAGAAATTTTTAGCATTTTTAAATAGTGAAATTTGCAAATTTTGGTCAAAAATAAGTATTTATAAGCCAAATTTTGTATGAAAATAAGCAAAGTGTATTAATCTATTTCAGTAGTGTTCCTATTGAACCTAGGTTCAAAGTTCATGAACATGTTCAAAGTTTTGAATAAAGAAAAAAGCATATAA